CAGCCCAGCCAATATGGCGAAACCCCATCTCCTACTAAAAAGACAAAAAATTAGGCTGGGCATGGTGGGCAGTGGCCTATAGTCCCAGGCTACTCGGAAAGGCTGAGACGAAAATTTCTTGAACCCAGGAGGCCGGAGGTTGGCAGTGAGCCCCGGAGATGGCGCCACTGCACTCCAGCCTGGGGCCAGAGAGAGAAGCCTCTCAAAAACAACAAAACAAACAAACAAAAAAACAGGGCGGGCCATGGTGGAACTCACACCCTGTAATCCTAGCCATTTCGGAGGCGACGGTGGGCAGATCCCTGAGGGTCAGGAGTTTGAGTCCAGCCCTGACCAACACGGAGAAACCCTGGTCTCTTAATAAAAATACAAAATTAGCTGGGCGAGGTGGCGCATGCCTGAAACCCCAGCTACTCGCGGAGGCTGAGGCAGGAGCATCGCACCATTGCCACTCCAGGCAACAGGGCAAAACTCCATCTCAAACCAACAACAACAAAGCAAACAAAAACACAACGGTCGGAATGACTCACATCCAAGGGTCTCTTGTGGAAAAAGTTTTTCTGTTTTTTTTTTTTTAACAGAGTCTGTCACCCCAGGCTGAGTGCAGTGGTGCAATCTTAGCTCACTCGCAACCTCCGCCTCCTGGGGGTCAAGCGATTCTTAGGCCTCAGCCTCCTGAGTAGCTGGGATTATAGGCACCCGCAACCACGCGTGGCTAAATTTTGTTGTGTATTTTTAGTAGAGATGGGGTTTCACCATTTTGGCCAGGCTGGTCTCGAACTCCTGGCCTCTAGTTACCTACCTGCCTCTCAAAATGCTGGGATTACAGGCGCTCTACTGAACAGCAGAAGCTTCTTGTTCTTGGGTTTGGTTTACTCATCAAAGAAGGGGTGGCATGCATTATATGTTGTGAAATTTTCTAAGATCTAATATCATATTCTAAAAATATATAGAAACCATTTCAGAATGTTAAGACTATAATACTAAATTACCCCAATCCTGCCACTCAAATGCACAACTTGCCGTTAAAAGCGCCAATTTAAATCCTCAGCAGCAATATCCTCGACATGGCCACAAGATGGTGGTGTTGCTCCTGAAATGTTCCTATTGCCTTGGTAAAGTCACACGGGTGGCAAGTTTTCAAACAAGAATTGGAAATTTTTCCAAGTTGGAAAAAAAATTCAAGAGGATTTCCAAAATGTATTTACAAAAAGTATTACTTAGAACTGGCATGGTGGCCGCGTATCTGTAGTCCCCAGCTACTCGGGACGTTGCCGCAGGAAAATGGCTTGAGCCCAGGAGTTTGAAGCTAACCTAGGCGACATCTCAAGACCGCAACTCAGAAAACAAAACTAGGCCGGCCGCCGGTGCCTCACGCCTGTAATCCCAGCACTTCGGGAGGCCGAGGTGGGTGGATCCAGAGGTCAAGAGTCCAGACCATCCCGGCCAACATGTGGTGAAACCCCGTCTCTACCTAAAAATACGAAATTAGCTGGGCGTGGTGGCCGGGATCTGCCTGGTCCCAGCTACTTCGGGAGGCCGAGGCAGGAGAATCGCTTGAACCCAGGTGGCAGAGGTTGCAGTGAGCCGACACCACACCCACTGCACTCCAGCCTGAGAGACACAGCGACACTCTGTCTCAAAAAAAAGAAAAGAAAAAATTAATAAACGAATAAATATATACACATATATAAGAGTTATAGCGGCTGGGCGCAGTGGGGGTCACACCTGTATACCCAGCACTTTGGGAGGCCCGAGGCAGATGGATCACAAGGTCAGGAGATCGAGACCATTCTGGCTAACATCTACCTAAAACACAAAAAAATTAGAAGGCAGTGGTGGTGTGCACCCTGTAATCCAGCTACTTGGGAGGCTGAGGCAGAAGAATTGCTTAAACCAGGAGTTGGAGGTTGCAGTGAACTGAGATCATGCCACTGAACTCCAGCCTGGGCAAAAGAGGGAGACGCCAAAAAAAGAAAAAGAAAAAAAAAAAAAGAGCAAATCCAATTAACAAATCAGTAAAGACTAATCTTTTCTAAACATGTTTTTTTTTTTTTTTCCAAAAAGACCAAATATTACTTAGAGAAGACACTACCTTTCTAAGACCTCAATCCACTGGTCCTTCTTATTTCCTTTCTACTCTGGTCATATTTGTTATTCATTGGTTGAATTTTATTTTACGTGTTTATAACTTAAAAACATTTAAGGCCAGGCGCAGTGGCTCACGCCTCTAATCCAGCACTTTGGGAGGCCGAGGCAGGAGATCAACCTGAGG